ACTGTTTGGCAGGCCTCGGGCCAGATTCAAGCCCACCAACCTGGGTGTATGTGGCAGGTACCCTTGCCACTGAGCTACAGGTGCTGAGCATATTCCCCTATTCTTATTTTGAGAATGTTCCAAGCTCTGGAAAAATTATGAGAATACGGAGTAGTTGAGAAATTAGAACCCTCAAATGCTGCTGGTCGACTGTGAAGTGATACAGGTGTAATGGAAAAAATTAAACAGAAACAAAATCAACTCTTGGGTATACATACCAAAGAGAAGTAAAAACATTCGCTTGCACAAAAACTTGTACTAGAGGTTCAGCACCTGTGGCTCAAGCGGCTAAGGCACCAGCCACATACACCTGAGCTGGCGGGTTCGAATCCAGTCCTGGCCCACCAAACAATGACAGCTGCAACCAAAAAATAGCCAGGCGTTCTGGCGGGCACCTGTAATCCCAGCTACTTGGGAGGTGGAGGCAGGAGAATCGCTTGAGCCTAGAAGTTAGAAGTTGCTGTGAGCTGTGATGCCACAGCACTCTACCCAGGGCAACAGACCCAGCCAAAAACTTCCAAAAAAAAATTTTTGTACTAGAATGTACATATGAGCATTCATAATAGCCAAAAGGTTGAAGTAACCAAAATGTCCAACAACAAAAAGTAGTTAAACAAAATGGTTAAACAAAATGTAGAGTATCTATCCAATGGACTCTGAGGTTAAACAAAATGTGGAATATCTATTCAACAGAATATGAAGAACTGACACATGTTACAACATGCATAAACACTGAACAACTATGCCAGGTGGAAAAATGCAGTCACAAAAGACCACATACTGCATAATTCCATTTACATGAAATGTCCAGAATAGGCAAATCCACAGACACAAAGTAGATCTGGGATTGCCAGGGATTGGGGGGGAGAGAGAGAGAAAGAATGAGTAGTGACTGCTAAGGGATTCAGGGATTATCTCTGAAACTAATGAAAATGTTCTAAAATTACAACTCTGTAAATATGCTAAAAAACTACTGTTTTAACTATACACTTAAAAAGGGTGAGTTTTAGTTGGGTGTGGTGGTTCACACCTATAATCCTAGCACTTTGGGAGGCCACGGCAGGAGGATCACTTGAGATCAGGAGTTTGAAACCAACCTGAGCAAGAGCGAGAGCCCGTCTCTACCAAAAAGAAAAGAAAAAAACAAAAACTGGGCATGGTGGTGCATAGTCCCAGCTACTCAGGAGGCTGAGGCAGGACAACTGATTGAGCTCAGGAGTTTCAGTTTGCTGTGTGCTAGATGGCACTCTAAGATGAGGCAACTGAGCATGACTGTTTAAAAAAGGGGGGGAGAGTATCTGAATTTTATGGTATTTTAATTGTATCTTTATAAAATGTTATTAAAAAAATACAAAGTAGGTGGCGCCTGTAGCTCAAAGGAGTAGGGCGCCGGCCCCATATGCTGGAGGTGGTGGGTTCAAACCCAGCCCCGGCCAAAAGCTGCACACACACAAAAAAGAAAGTAGATATGTATTGCTTTAAACTACTTTCAGCACTTGTTGATATTTTGCTGCATTTGCTTCCTTCCTTTCCACTATACACACGTGAATATGTGCACAGACACAATTCATGGCTAGACACTTTGCTCCAAAATACTTTGGCATATGGAACAGTCTCCCACACAACCAAAACACAAATATCACATTCAGGAAATTCAACACCAACCTTTTATTCCTCTACTATACACTGGAAGAATAAGAGTTGTCTTAAGCCACATATTAAATACACAAACACTAGGGAAAGCTGATCAAAAAAAAAAGGTCTGTATTTATTTTTTGTGACATGGAACACCAAAGATAAGCAAAAATGTCTGCACAGGCTGGGTGCCCATAGCTCAGTGGTCAGGGCAACAACCACATGTGCCAGGGCTGGTGGGTTTGAACCCGGCCAGGGCCTGCTAAACAAAACAAAAAATAGCCTGTGGTCCCAGGTACTAGGGAGGCTGAGGCTTGAGAATCGCTTAAGCCCAAGAGTTTGAAGTTGCTGTGAGGTATGACGCTACTGCACTCTACCGAGGGTGTCAAAGTAAAACTATGTCTCAATTAAAAAAAAAAAAAAATCCTCACAAAATTGGCCTGCAGCTCACAGGTTAGACACCCCTGATCCATACTGAAGTTTATTTTTCATCAAAATTATGCATTAATTTGGTTTTCATATCCCTTTAGTCTTTTCTAATCTAGAAAGTCTTTCTTCTTGGGCAGCACTTGAGGCTCAGTGGGTGGGGCACTGGCCCCATATATGGAAGGTGGCGGGTTTAAGCCGGCTGGGCCAAACTGCAACAAAAAAATGACGGCGTTGTGGAGGATGCCTGTCGTCCCAACTACTGGGAGGCTGTGGCAGAACTGCCTAAGCCCAGGAGATCGAGGTTGCTGTCAGCTGTGTGACACCATGGCACTCTACTGAGGGTGATGAAGTCAGACTGTCTCTACCAAAAAAAAAAAGTCTTTCTTCTTTATCTTTTCATGACATTGACATTTTTGGAGAATCCAGATAAACTGTTTCAAGAATGTCCTTCAATCTGGATTTGCCTGATTGTTTTCTTATGAATCAATTTGGATTAAACTTTTTTTATTTTTTGAAACAGTCTCACTTTGTGGCCCTTGGTAAGAGCTGTGTTATCAAGCTCACAGCAACCTTAAACTCTTGGGCTGAAGCGATTCTCTTCCTCAGCCTCCCAAGTGGCTGGGACCACAGGCACTGGCCACAACGCCCGGCTATGCTTAGGGCCAGAGTCTCGCTCTTGCTTGGGCTGGTCTCCAACCTGTGAGCTCAGGCAATCCACCAGCCTAGGCCTCCCAGAGTGCTAGGATTACAGGTGTGAGCCACTGCACCCTGGATTAAATATTGTTGTAGGAGTACTGCATAGGTGAATTGTGTCCTTAGTGCATTATGCCGGGGGTATAAAATGTCATCTCATTAGTGAGGATGATAAAGTGGTATTAATTTGTTGGTCTTGGTTAGGGTGACCACTACTAGATATCACTCCGTTCTATAGGTAGCTTATTCTCTTAGTAATTAATAATGGGGACACAATTAATTTGAGTCTGTGTAAACATCAGGTTTTGCCAATTTTCTCTTACCCAAAAGTTTTAGCACCTGCTAAATACCTTTGCCTGGTATTCTATACCTCTGAGATCGCTTTGCATCGATGTGACCAACCACTGCTATCAATCTTATCCCACAGAATACTGGAGCTAACTGTGATTTCAACCTTAGCTGCACATGAGACTCACTCGTATCCCTAGGGCAATTTTATTTTTAAATTCCTCAGTGTGACTGATTCTTATGTAGAGAAAGGGTTAAGATTCCCTGAGTTAGAGGACTCTTACAATACCCTCTTTTTGCCATAAGGACACTGAGGCCCAAGAAGTTTAAATGACACAAAACTAGTTAGCGGCATAATTAAAGTTTTACTTTACTATACCTGCATTTTAATATGCCATACCTTCTATATGTTATTCAAACAATAAAACCAGAAAAATCAGTAACTTGTGTAGTATGCTATTACAAATGACTACCACTTCTATGCTGCCGCCATATGTGCGTATTTCTGCTTTCGATGTTAATTTTGCCTTTCATTCACTAGACCTTCACAGTCACGTCAGGAGAGCGGTTACGGGGTTAGGGTTTCTCCGCCCTCAGGAATCTCTGCAATCTCAAGCCTAGGAGTCCAGCTTGAGCAAGACGTTCAAGGCGCTAGATGGGCAGATGGTCAGACCTGCAGCCCTGACGCCAGGCGCTCGCCCGGGGGCCCCTCGAAGAGCAGCCGGCCTCGTGCGGTGAAACACCTGCCGGAGATGCACCTGGCGGTGCACGCCTGCCGCGCCCAGCGACTCTCCAACGGGCGCGGGGCGCTGCAGACGACTGAACCTGCAGCCCGCCCTCCCCCCAACTTACCCCAGCGTGATAAACTTTATTCGCTCTTTTAATCTTGATGTCAAGGGAGGTCCCCATCTCAAATTTTTCGCAGCAGCCGCCACTTCCGGCACTGCGTGACACGAAAGGAATCAGGACCGTCCAGACTCGCCAACCTGGCTGTGGCGTCACGTGACCTCGCGTCTACGCGCATCAACGCCCTACCACAGAGGGCGTCCGCTGCACGCCTTCCTACTTCCGGCGCAGGAGCGGGCCTCAGAGCGGCCAGAGACACTGTGGCCTCCGCCCCGCCCCCCGCGCGTGAGGGGCGGAACCTGGCTAGCCCCACCTCCTCCGCAAGGACATTCCGCCGGAAGCACTCTTCTGCCTGGTTTAGGACGGGGAGAGATTCTCGGCTCTTTCCGTGTGCCCCGCGGCTTGGGGAGGGGCCGAGGCTGTCTCGCCGGCCTCGCCAGTCTTGGCGGTTTCAGACCGCGTCAGGCTTTGCGGTGCGGGACCTGCGCCAGGGGTTGGCTTTCGGGGGGTTATAACTAGAGAAGGCATTCCCGTCACAGGCCGCCTTCCTCTCTCAACGCTAGCCATCCACTGTTGCCTTCGTGGGCTTCTGAGGAGGCGGCGCCGCTCCCTGCCCATTCCCGGTGAACTGTATTGCTCGCCCGCAGGGGCGCTGTCCCTGCGCTCCCGGCCTGCAGAACGCTGATTGGCGGGTGGCCCGGCTGCACCGCCCCTCCCCCCGGGCCCTGAGCCAAGGTCTCGGGCCCCGCCGCCTGACCTCGCTCCGCTGCGAGCCGGGCGCTGGGGCGGCCGACAGCCGGGCTCCGCGGGGCCGCGCGGCCTTCTGGGTATTCCCCAGGCGCGTGTCCTGGAACCCGGTGTCGAAGACTCATAGCTGCTCGGGCCCCAGCGCCCGAGCGTGGGAAGGCATGGCTTGCAGGCCCCGGAGCCCTGAGATTGGCTGGGAATGCAAGGCTGTGGCTCTGTCTAGCCGCCTTTTTTATTCGCAGCAACAACCGACTGAAGTAGACTCAACACGCATACTGTGGTTGGGGGGTGGTGGGGTGAGGTACTTCCTCCAGGCAGGGCGGGCAGTGCAGTGTTAGGCAACACGCCACCTTTATCGAAATAAGATCTCTGTAAATCTTTTGAATAAGGACTTTTCCAGTAAGCAGAAGGTCACATTTATCTTGATTATCTTGATAAGTTATTTAATAATGTGATGAAGAAATGCTTGTTTAAATTCCTTGATTCTGATACTTGTTTTTTACAAGTGTGATACTTTGGAGATGACATCAGAAATTTTATATAAAATGGGTTTAATGAATTAGTGTCATGAATGCCTCCCTCTTGAGAATTTAAGATGTTTTATACACCAACAGTGATAGTACTGCAGCTGCAGTTGCTTTTGAAGGTTGATTAATGTGATATTTCCAAATATTCAGGTCTCAGTTTTCAGCTCCTCTCTGCCCTCAGGACTTTAGTATCTGTCTTGAATATTTTCCTGACAACTCAAACTCAGCAATTCTAAAACCATTAGGGACTTAATCCAGTCTAGTCTATTTGAATTCAAGAAGCAAATCCCTCTCCATTTTACCATCATTTTCAACCGGTAAAAAAACCAATCTCAGTAGACTATGCAGAGAAACAGGAATAGAAACATGTGTCCAGATTCTATATGTTTGCTCCAGTAAGCCTGCTTTATACTTACTTTGTAAAAGAACACTTCCTAGTCCTTGAAGACAGGTGTGCCGTATTTTTATTGTCATTGTAAGATGTACACAATTTTAATGGAATCTAGTGCAGTGTAAAGAGCTCTGGTTCCAGAAGTTACCAGGGTAATTAGGTTATTAGGCCCTCTCTGTATGGTGAACACTCCCATTTTTCTCCAATTACTGCGCTTTTTAATTTTTTCCATCCCTTACCTACACCTTAGGTGATACCTTAACTTTCTGGTCAATTTCAGTTACTGAAAATCAGACCATGTTAAGTCTCATGAATTAAGTTGGACCCTAGATCTTTAGTGGGGGAGTTTGCAAGTTGTGGTTCTGCCTCTTAGACACTTCCTCAAGGTAGTTCAAGGCGTGGCCTCTGGGTTGAGACAAGGAAGAAGAAAATCAGGCATGTCTCCTTAACTGGCCACTACTGGAGTTTTCCAAGTAGATTCCTGCTTCTCTGTCTAACAGGTCCTTACTTGAAACTCCTTTCATGGGTCACAGAGGGGAAGGCCTAGTGGGGCCTTCTCCCCTCTGAACGTACACTTATATGGGAGACCTATCACCATCGGGATCTTTCCCATCACCCTGCTGCCAGCACTCAGCAGTACACTCAGGCTTTTAGGTGAGGTTCCAGCAAAACAGCTCAGGAGCATTTATCTTCCACTCCATCTACTCGCCCTATGAGAAATACACACACTTGCACACAAAAGGGCTGAACTAGAGGCTACCCCGTGGCCACTTCTCTCAGTCCTTGCCATCCCTCTTCAATCTTCTTGTTCCCTCTTGAAATACAGACAGAAATTAGCAAGAATGCTGAAAAAACAGATCTACAAATGACAAATGGAATACCAGCCTTCCCTTCCAGTCAGACCCTGATAGTTAGACTATCTTATAGGCTCCCCCATTACACTGCTTTTCCCAGAAACACCATACTGTCCAAAAGACTGGCCGCCTCCTTTCATTCCTTTTCCTGCCTTCTGTATAGACTGGAAGGAGAGGACTGGGGAAATATTTCATGAGAGCAGGACTACAACTGCAGCTTTCTGTTAAGCCCTGGGGGAAGCGTGTGGCATCTTCCATTAGAAGATGTAGTACTATGTAGTTTTCAGCTGTGAGCCTTATGCCAATTCTGAGACAATAGGAGAGGTCCTGCTATACGTCTTCAAATGGGTGCTGTGGTTCTCTGCCCAGACTCCTCCTTCAGGACTGAAGAACACATTCTTTGAACTGCTAGGAGTGTTGGTCTCCACAGTTCTCAGCTAAGTCACTCTTCAAAACTTGCCCTTGGCCAAAGAAAACTGCCTTGCCCAAGGGCATGCCCCCTTCTCTGGGGTAGGCCACAGGGAATGACTAATCAATTTAGAACATGAAGGCCTCTCTCCCTTGCCCTGATTTAGGACAACTCTGAAGGGCCATTCTAATTCCAAGCCCCTAGTATTACTTACCTTTGGAGCTAGAATGTTAGCAAATTACCCTAACGTGTACTAATTTTAAACAACACACATCGTTGGGCACAGTGGCTCACGCCTGTAATCCTAGCACTCTGGGAGAGGTGGGTGAATCCCATGACCTCAGGAGTTTCAGACCAGTCTGAGTAAAAGCAAAACCCTGTCTCTACTAAAATAACAGAAAAACTAGCCAGGCATCATGGCAGGCACTTGTGGTCCCAGCTACTTGGGAAGGTGAGGCAGAGCATTGCTCAAGCCCAAGAGTTTGAGGAGTGAGTTGTGATGTGAGCTATGATGATACCATGGTGCTCTACACAGGGCAATACAGTGAGGCTCTGCCTCAAATAAATAAATAAATAAATAGCAACATATTATTTCATATTATCTGTGGGTTAGCAACTCGGCAGTGGCTTAATTAGTTCTGGCTTGAGGCCTTTGGTAGTTTCAGTCAAGATGTTGGACAGGACCACAGTCGCCTGAAGGTTTGACTTAGGCTAGATCAGCGGTTCTCAACCCGTGGGTCACGACCCCTTTGTAACAATGAAAATACATCACTGCATTAGAAAGGTTGAGAACCACTGGGCTAGATGATCCGCTTCCAAGATGGCTTCCCCGGTGATTGATGTCAGGAGCACTCACTTGAGAGTCTTCTCAATAAAGCAGCTAATGTCTCCCAAACCAGGAGAATGCAGGCGGGGGACTGCAATGCCTTCTATAGCCTAGTCTCCAAAGTCTCAGAGCTACTTTTCATCTCTTTATTAGAAAAGAGTCACTAAATCCAGCCTGCAGTTTTGGAAGGGAATGTCTGTGAACTTGTGGGCATATTTTAAACATATTTTACTGTGATTCCATCACTGTTCAACTTCTTCCTCTGCCCCGCCCTGCTTCTTATACCTCACCCTTCTGTGCTTGTTGATCAAGAGATCACTCCTAATAAATGTCCTGCACATTAAACCTCAATCTCATAGTCTGCTCTCTGGCAAACCAACCTACAACAATCTTGTTACACTAGCTTTGTGACTTACCCTCTCATCATAATCCTCAAAATAATCATATAGTATATAACAACTCCTGTTTCTTCACCTTACAAAAGGGAAAAACTGAGAAAGATTAAAACAGAAACATTAATGTGCTTGCCTAAGATAATGTAGCAAATAGGTGACAGCCAGCCATTCTCACTCTAAAGCTCACAAAGGCAATCACTGATCAGCATGCTGCCTATGTGCACTCAATAAATGCCGGACCATACAAAAAGGGGGCTTATGAGAGCTCAGTTAAAATACTGGACCAAAGACTACCAGTCGCATGTGAAAAGAAGGGTACAATCTTATAGTCCAAGGCAATCTCAGAACTATAAGAAAAGGGATAGAGGATGGGTGGCAGGTTCAAACCCAGCTTCTGCCAAACTGCAACAAAAAAATAGCTGGGCGTTGTGGTGGGCACCTATAGTCCCAGTTACTTGGGAGGCTGAGGCAAGAGAACTGCCTAAGCCCAGGAGTTGGCGGTTACTGTGAGCTGTGTGATGCCACAGCACTCTACCGAGGGTGATAAAGTAAGACTCCATCTCTATAAAAGAAAAAAAAGAAAGAAAAAGAAAAGGAATAGACCGTCATAGTATCAACCAATGGTAAAGACACAACATTAAGGCCACTGCAGAATAATAACAGTATTTTAGTTTGCTGAGACTTCTATATCAAAGTGCCACAAACTGGGTGACTTTAAACCACAGAAATTTATTCTTGCACGCTTTAGGAGTCTTCCGTTCAAAATCAGGATGTCAGCAGGGTTGGTTTATTCTAAGGACTATGAGGGAAGAGTCTTTTCCAGGTACCCCTCCTTGGCTTGTGGACTGGCATCTTCTCTGTATGTCTCTACATGGTCTTTGTTTTTTTTTTTTTTT